GCCAACAAAATCCTTTCTTCTTCCTCTTCCCCCTCCCCCTCCGCTTCTCTTTTTCCCTCCTCATCCTCTGCCCTTTTTTCCTTTCTTCCCCTCCCTTCCCTTCCCCCTCCCCCTCCTCTTCCTCCTCTTCTCAGTGCTGGGTCCAAACCATGACTTTGTACATTCGAGGCTTGCAAATGCCCCTTATCACTGACCTGCATCTCCAGCCCCCTGTTTCCTTTCTTACCTCATCATAGCTGAGTAATTTACTCTGAGCTCTTTGCACTGGGCTGGCTGACTTTCTTTGTTTCCCTTTCTCTCTCTCCCTCTCTCTCTCTCTCTCTCTCTCTCTCTCTTTCTTCCTTTTCTTGTTTCTGCTCATAAATCCCTAAGGAACACAGATCTGTTCCTTGCCCGCTATGTCTACTCTTGATCAGTGATGGACTTTTCTTTCCTGTGGATTAAGATTCATACCTAATTTTTAATGAATTTGAAGAATTCAAAGTGCTTTTTTTTTTAAAAAAAATATTGTGATAATTAAGTTAATTCCTTAAATAATATTGTGAGGTGGGAGACACCTAAACTTACAGGAAATTTTTTTGTTTTTGTTTTTGGTACCGGGAATCGAACGCAGATCCTTGCACTTGCGAGGCAGCTGGCAGAGCCACTGAGCTAGATCCCTGGCCCTTTGCTGCTCATCTTTATGTTGCCTTTGGCTTGTACTGAATGCTACCCAGCTAGGTCGCTGCTGCTTATTGGAATCTGTACCTATCTCTACTCAGCTGAATCTGAGGCCTAGGCCTAGCCCTGAGAGTTCTGTCTCTCCCAGTGCCTTGAGCTAATCAGCCCTTGCCTGCCAGAAGCTGAGCCCCAAGCTGAAGGTGAGTTCTTCCTGCACTTTAACTCAGATTGTCTGGGTTCATATTCCCATCTCCTGCCTTTTACAGCTTTCTGCCTCTGCTTGGATGACCCCGGGGGACACTTAAATTCTCTAAACTCAACTTCTCATCGTAAAAGGGGTACAAAGAGATATCTACATTTTGGTTATTATTTATGTAACAATTCTTAGCACGTGGAAGTACAAAGAATCGAAGGAATTTTTTTGTTTGTTTGGTGTTTTACTCTTTTTTGTTGTTGTTGTTCTTATACCAGGGATCGAACTCAGGCCCTTGCACCTGCGAGGTAGGCAGCAGAACCACTGAGCCAAATCCCCAGCCTTATTTTTTGTGTTTTTGGCACTCGCCACCACACCCTGCTTGATTGATCTCCTGTTCATACTTTCAAAATGTTCCTTGGACGTTCTGTGTCACCGTCACTTATCCAAGAGAACAGCTGGAATGTTAATGGAAACTTCATACCCTGTTCCTTTGTATCATCTCTGACAATGAAGCAGCTGAAGTCCTCCACGCAAGGGCAGATGTGGCCGTGGTGCTCTACTGAACTCCTGGTGCGCAGGGGCGAAGAAGAGCCAAGGGCCTGAGATTAAATCCTGATAGGTTTTCGCCATAGCATTCGGGTGAGTCACCAAATGCTTTCAAGCCTCACCTTAGGCCTAGAGAACCGGGGTCATCAATCCTATCCTGCTGCTAAGAAGGAAGCTTCCTGTGCTGAGCCTGGAATCATGGGGAGGGGAGGGAAATGGCCGCTGGGGGAGAAAATACCATGTGCAAAGAGAGGAGACTGTGAAGGACACTAAGTGGACAAACATAACTGAGATGTAAGGTATTGATGAGAGCAAGGTAACAATAAAAATTAGAGAAGCGGATTTGTCCTAGTTTGGGTCTTAAATGTCCCCCAAATGCCCAAATGTGAAGGTGTGGTCTCCAGCCCATCGCACCAAGGAGAGGTGGTGGAACCTTTAAGGGGTGGGCTCAGTAGGAAGTGAGGTCATCTGGGGCATGGCCTTGAAGAGGATGTGGGGACCCCAGCTTGTTGCCTCTCTATGCTTCCTAGCAGTCATGAGTGAAGTTTTCCTCTCTTACATGTTCTCCACTGCGATGTACGCCCTCACCAAGGGTAGGGACTGAAACCGTGGGCCAAATAAACCTTTCCTCCTTATAAATGCATTTTCTCAAGTATTTTGTCCCAGCCACAGAAAGCTGACCAGAGAACAGGGTGAAACTAGGGTGTTAAGGCAGTTGAATGGCTGAGAAGGCAGTTGAGAATATTTCTACTAGACAGGTCAATTTCCTTTCCTAGAACACTGACAGCTCTTTTTTAGTAGGTCTTTACTAGTGGGACACGTGGATACCCATGCTATCCAGACAGTGGGGCTCCCTGAGTCATCATCGTTTTGGGGGGGAAGTAGGGATTGAACTCAGGACCTTGCATTTGCAAGGCAGGTGGCAGCACCACTGAGATAAGTCCCCAGCCCCCTCATCATCTTTTATGAGTGGCCCATAGCCTACAGGTGAGTGATCTGAGAGGTCTTCCTCACAGGCCTTTTTTGGGGGGAAGGGATACTGGGATTGAACCCAGGGCCTTTGACCTACATCCTTATCCCTTTTAAATTATTTTATTTGGAGGCAGGATCTTGCTAAGTCACGAAGTTGCTGAGGCTGGGCTTGAACTTATGATTCTCTTGCCTCGGCTTCCCATGATAGAACAATACTATACAATAAGATAGACCCTTGCCTCACCTGGATGCTTTTTTTCTTTTCCACAGAATGTTTTGTTCCAGGAATGTAACAGTCTGTGCTGCTGGGCATCACTCCTGCCCAGGGTATCAAAATGTTTTGTGACTGTTTGGATTTTGTAACCTCTCAGGAATGTTCCTTAGCGGCCTGCTTTTCAGGAATGCTCTGTAACTCTGCCTTCTCGCTTCTGTGAGCATGCTCGCCCGCTGTGCCTTTCAGGAACATTTTTGTAACACCCCCCCCACACTTCAGTGAGCGTGCTCGCCTGTGAAGACCCCTATATAATAAGGAGGCTCCCGCTTCTAGTCAAGCACTCAGACTTTGGAGTATGAACTCCACTGACCCATCTGACTGACGTAATAAAGGTTTTTCTCCACCTCTTCAAGAGACCATCCGATTCTCAAGTCTTCCAACTGCAGTAGCTGCGACACTGAGCTAGGCCACTCGGCTGTTTCACTGAGCTGTAACACTTGGCTATAGCACTGAGCTGTTCTACTTTGCCGTAACACCCAGAGTGCTGGGATAACAGGTGTAGCCCCCATCAGCTCAGAGAGAATAACTATGAAGTAGTTACTGCAGATCTCAAAGTCATCTGTCGCGACAGTGACGGTGGGCAGTGTGACAGGGAGTGGGGAGGGGACTTAAAGACAGGAAGTGGGCAGTCTGAAGGAGGTGGCCGTGTGTCCCGGCCGTTCTGTCACCCTTGTCATAGCGGGAGGCCTTTGCACAGCTGGGGTGTGTGTTGGGAGAGTCCTTTCACTGGAACTTTCTGAGCACCAGTCAGAGCAAGGGGATAGGAACTGAGAAGGGGGTTCTGACAATGAAACGAAAGTCTCTAAGAGCGTCCTTCTCAAAGCCCTTGGTTACAAGATCCTGTATTCCCCTAACCATTAAGAATTCCCCCAAGAACTTTTGTTTCTGAGATTAAATCTATTGATATTGACCATAATAGAGATTAACACTGAGAAATAGTTAACTGGTGAAGTCCCTTAAAAACAACAACGATAAGTGCATTCAGCTTGACATAAATATTTGTATGTGAAAGTTACTGTATTTTCTAAGAAGAATGTCAGTGAGGACAGTGGTTTTTGTTTTACATGTTTACACATCTCTTTATAGCTAGTGTGATAGACAACATGTGGATTTTCAATCAGCTTTTGCAGTCCATTGTTACATGCTGTTACATGTTACATGCTTCGGTTGAAAGATTTAAGTAAATTATGGGCTCACACTGACATATAGTTGGAAAAATGAGAAATTGATAGATCTCCCCATGTATGTTTCAGTGGTATATACACTATAGACCCCCTGATGGGCTTCAGGGATCTAAGAAGTCCTACATAAAGCTCTGAAAATTACTGCTTCAGAGTTTACTTAACCATATTTATGAAAAACCCTACAATTATGTGCAATAAGATTTTGATATTAACTTCAGTTCTTTAATAAGGACATTCTTAGGCAGATACGGCTGCAGAAATGGGTGGCTCTGGCCAGCCCAGAGTGCTCTCTCTCTCTCTCTTTCTCTCTCGCTCTTCCTGTTTAAATTTTGAGACAGGATCTCACTTAGTCACTAAGTTGTCCACGCTGGACCTAAACTTGTGATCCTCCTGCCTCAGCCTCACAGAATGCAGGGATTACAGGTGTGCAGCACCCGGCGGGGCTTGTCTCTCTTGATGCATTTAGGGTCTGTTGGTTCTACTCTGGATACTGTGTTCATCCCTTGGTCATTCACTTCCTTCTGTCAGAGTCATTCTTCCTGGAGGCACAAAAATTTCTTGGTGTCTGCGTGTAATCGCTCAAGGCTCCCACAGCAGGATTTCACTCAGTGGACTTTTAGGGAGAGGATGTGTCTGCTAAAAGTCTGCTCCTGCCTTTTACATCGAGCAGGCTGGCTTGTACCAGCTCATGGTTGAGCGCATTCCCTTGGCCCCAAGCTACCTATGCTCACCAGCCTGCTACCTTTCTGCCCCACTGCGATGATGGAATTGGGTTCAAAATCTAGCTCACTTGTCAGGAAAAGCAATTCTTGACCTAGGTTCCAGCTAAATACTGATTTCTCCCTAAGGTTTGTTTGTCTGTGTTTTTGTTTGGGGGGTTTTGTTTGTTTGTTTGAGACAGGATGTGGCTATGTAGTTCAGGCTGGCCTTGAACTCATGGCGATCCTGCTGCCTCAACACCCCCAGTTCTGGGATTACAAGCAGGCATCACCACACTCGGCCTCCACCGAAGTTTACACAGGGCTGCCACCGTGCCACAGAGTTCACTGTGGATGTTCTTGCTACCAGAAGAGGTCAAGGATTTGCCCTTTACCCATGTTACACCCTCTGCTGTTCTGTGTACACCCAGGACTGCTGCATAAAGTGAGATGCCGCCCCAACACGAGAAGGGTGCGCTGACCCAGGCTCCATGGACATCCATGACCCAGTGTCCACTCCCGGTGTCCACGCCCCGGCATCTGTGGCTGAGTCTGTGGGCCAGATCTCCCACCCAGTGTCCACAAACTGTGTATGAGTCAGATCGAGGGATTCAGTTCTACTTCTCCAATCCGTGGTGACACCATGACCTAAAGCTCAGTCCCCCTCTTACAATGCATATAAAGTAAGAGTGGCAACCACTGCCCCGGAAGCTTTTGTTCTGTCTGAGTGGAGCTGGATCTCACATGGAGCAAGGCTACTTTGACAACATCAGAATCCTTTTCTACCCCACCTGAGCTTCCTGTCCAGTTTGCAACCCTGGCCTGCTCTCATCAGCTTTCCCAGGCCCTCACCATCCTTGATTTTACTCTCAAGTAAGTAAAAAGTTGTGTTTTAATTTTCCTTATGTTTAAAATCAAAAGTAACTTGTCTTTGCTAATTTTCTCAATCCGTAAATGATTACAAACTACAAGGAAATGTTTCTCTGAAAAATCTAAGCTTAACATTCAAGCAGAAAATTTTATACTTGCAATACCAACCTGTATCTTGCATAAAATAACTATTATTTTAACACAAGTGTTCCAAAGACTGCTATCACAAATATATGCCTTTAGTAGTCGTTTTTAATTAGAGTGAGCTTTTTTACAGTAGAAGTACACTCTAAAATAATAATTAAAATATAATACATATCGAAACCCTCCAAAATGTGAACTCTGGGAGAGGATGAGGCAAAAGTTAAGTGACGTGCACATACAAATCTGCCAAAATGAAACCCATTTATCTGTAGAGCCAAACTGCACAAATTTTAAAATTGTGAAAATAAATTTTAGATGCATAGATTTTAGTTCTCACGTTTTAGTGCCTGAAGAGCTTGTTGCGATGCTGGTTCTGAGTCAGTAGGTCTGGGTCAGGCCTGAGAATCTGCATTCCTTCCACTACCCAGTGGTGCTGGTGCCTTTGGTCCAAAGACAATGTAGTCTTTGGAGGATGGAGCATTTTACCTACCTTTAAACACTATTTCAACTAGATTCTCTCCAAAAATTCACATAGTGGCTAGCAATGTTTTCCTCTTGTCTTATTTTGCATGCATTATTTACTTCATTATCTCCATGTAGCTACTGGTCTTGGGGGAGGGTGGCTTTCTTTTTTCCACTCTTCTTTTTTATTGCACATTGGTTATATAGAACAATGGGTTTCATTTTGGCAGATCTGTACACACATACCACATATTCTAATCATTTCCCTCTCATCCCTCCCTGTGCCCTGCCCTTCTCTTGGTTTCACTTTTTTTTTTGGGGGGGTCAATGCACATAATTTATTTTGATCATGCTAATTAGAGATCTAATTAACTGTACTTATTAGCACAAGAGTTTGGGAGTTTCAAATTCTGTGCTCTGAGCCTTTGTTTACTTGATGTCTGTCCAGAAATCAGGCCAGTGTCCAGTACCTCTAAAGCTGATTTTGGTCTCCATGACAATGTCACAGCTCTGGCACTCTGGCTGCTAGGTAGCCTAGGAAAACTCCATAATAAATACCCTTTCTAGGCAACTTGTGTGTGCGTTCAGTTCCTCTACTGCCAGCCTGAGGACACAGCACTTGCACCCTCTCACGGTGCTGAGGCGGGTGTTAAAGGCTGCTGTGGGATGAATTCTATTTGGCAGCTCCTTAAGTCTTCTCTATTGTGTGGCATGGGTGCGTCAAAGGATCCCTTTTCCCCATCAGCAGTTTCCGATGGGACCTTCTGCCTCCCTGAACAGCTTCTGAGGTCCTCAGGCCCCTTGTCTGATCCACGTCACACGCTCAGCTGCCCCGTGCCTGTTGTCTTCTTGAGCGGCAGTGGGAAGTCCTGGTGTCGGAACCTCTCCTTCCTTACGTAACCGCAAGATGTCATTTCGACATCCCTGTGACTCCTCTGTCCGCTGCTGCCTTTCCTTCTTTACCACCTGACGTGGAAGGTACATGAGGCTGTGGAGAGACAAAAGAATGGAATTCCTGGGCTTTCCGTTGAATGAAGATGGTGCTGGCATTAACAGGGGAGTTTGCAAGAGTATCCAGCTGCCAACCAAGTTTCCCTCCGCGGGAGAGAAGATTAAAACCTTCCCCCAGATGGAGAAGAGCAAAGATTTAGGACAGAAAGGCGGAGAATTAGTACGGCTGGGTCATCCTTTGCCTGGATGCCAGCATCCCCGAACCTCTTGGCTGAGGGCAAAGCAAGAGGTGGACGCAACTGAACTCCCGTCAAGTACAGCTGCTGCCCGCTTCCTGGTGCAAGCCTGGTGGGCCAGCAGCTTTGCAGAATGTAGAATGAAAAGCTCCGATTCCAGCCCTCTGGAAGATTCAGGGAGAGTGAGGCAGCAGGCTTAGAGGGATCTGTGAGCCTCGTTAACAGGAGGCCATAGAAAAAGCTGCTGTTTTGCTGCCCAGCTAGACGTGAAATGAGGATGTGGTCACATCTTTCCTTTAAATCCCATAGCAGGGTTGATTTTAAAAACAAAACAAAATTTAAAAGCCCACCTGCCCATAAAAGCCGAATGAGATTTTGGTAAGGTTCCAGAGACAACAATAGAAAGATACACGAGTGCTCGTCTCAAAGCTGGGTAATGGGATTTATGACCAGTCAGATTTATAACCAGAATTCCTCAGCTGGTGGCCCGCGAAGGCATCGAGATGCTGCGGTGTCGCATGTTGATGACACCACTGAGTCCATCCCTAGGGCCCCAGGACTGGATCTCTACGCTGCTTACTGTCAAGTCTCTCTCCCATTTATGTCACATCGTGAAGGGCAGCAGGGGTTGCGTTGGTTTCAGAGGACACATCAAGCCCTTACCAGAGGGAAAAGAGCAAATCATTCTCTCTGTGGAACCCACGGGCACAAGGGGAAGACAAGTTGGACTCTTCTGTCTATCAGGATTGTCCTGTTAGGCAGCAATTATTAGAGGTAAAGTGGTCCCTTTGGTTCACTGGTGGTGTTCTTTCCTGTAAGGTGGTGTGATACCGCCTAGAAACCCAGGCACACAGGAAGAGGGCCAGGTAGGGAAATTGTTTCTTTATCCCAGTAATGAATGTAACTGTACTGTCTACCTAGAATGTACCAATAAATTCAATTAAAAGAAAAAGAATGTAGCATGCATTGTTCCCCCAAAAGTGATGTCACCCCGTGGGGACTTGTGTCTCTCCCCCTGAAAGAAGCCAGGTGAGTTTTGCAGACTTAGTTGTTCTATTGTGTCAAAGCCTTAAGGAGCCAGACATGTATGAACTTCTCAGGGTGGGATTCTTGAAGGAAATCCAGCATCCTAGAGACCTATGATCGCACTAATCCAAGCACAAACAACTCCAGAGCATTTCCGCTTTCAGACTCTCCTGCACTACTGGCTCAGTCCATTTTCTGCTGCTGTGACAGAACATCCGGGCCTCTGTAATTTATAAAGAAGAGAAGTTTATTTGAGCTCCCCATTCAGAAGACTGGGAAGCCCAATATCGGGTGACTGCATCTGTTGAGGGCCTTGTGCCACCGAAGTTGAAAGAAAAAATGGGCCCTTATAGAAGAGGAAAACACAGCAGAGCAGCCTTGCTCCACAACACTCTCTCAGTAATTAGTCCAGTCTCTCCAGAAAGACACTAATCCCCTTTCACTATTTATCACCTCGTAACAGCCCCACCTTCCAGCACCGCACCACCCTGGCAGTCAAATTCAAGTAAGTTCTGGAGGGGACAAACCACATTCAAACTCCAGCCCCACTGACCCTACCCCAGGGACCGCCCGCCCCTTAGCCGGTGTGATTTAGACTTGGCACCTATGTGATTGGCCAGGGCAAAGAAGATGCAGACGGGTGAGGTCCTGCATGGGAATGAGATTCCCTAGTAGGAGGGGGTCTCCTGAAAGGTATGGGTGGGATTCGCATAAGGAGTTGAAAGAGCAGCCTTTATGTCCATGAGCAGATAAGTAAACGAAGGAACTGTGGCCTTTATACTCTGCCGTAGAGAGAGACAAGCTTGGGTCATCTGTAGGAAAATGAGCGCATTTTGAGATCACAGTGTTAAGTGAAATAAATCAGGACACAACTTAAGCAGTAAATGGTTTCTCTTATACGAGAAGCCTAAAGTGTAAACAAATTAAAGGGCTAAATAAGATAACAGATGAAAGAAAACGGGGAAATAAATCTTTTGCGAATGGGAAGAGGACTGAAAGATGGGGCCATCTGCGAAAAGAGTTAAGATGTGTTATGAACGGGAACCAACTGCCCACAATAAATGCAATCACTGTGTGTTGCAAACATGGAATAATAAATATTACGCAAGGAAAGAGTTGAAAGGCCCAAGGAAGAAAATGGGGCAAAGGGAATGGGGTTGGCCCTGGGGAGTTCCCTCAACAGTACCTTTGGTGAAAGGCCCAGTTTTTAAGAATGATTTCTGCCTTAGAACGTGGGAGAAAACAAGTTGTCTAGAACTTTAGCCATTCCCCTCGTACCCTTCAAATGTATCCCAACTCCTGAGCCAACTGGATGGCTGAGAGGACTGGGGAGGGAAGAGGGAAGGAACAGCCCCCTCCTCGCCCCAACGAGGCCTGGCCTGGTGGCAGACGGAGCCATGCTTGCCAATGGACTCTGGCCCAGAAACTCAGAGTATGGCCAGTTCCGTGTGGGGTGAAGGGAAAATTTCACACACCGTGGAGGAGCCCAGAAAACCCCAGAAAGAATGCAACTGTGATGGCCGATTGGGCAGAGCTGGCCTCCTCTGGCCACGTGTCCAGGGTCCTCTGCTCACAAGGCTGGGCCTTGGGCGGGACTGCTGGGAGGCCGGATGGACTGACAGACTGGGCCCTGCACACCGGGCTGCAGGCTCTGCGCACAGGTGCTCAGGGACGGTTTCTCGTGGGGTGGTGACCTTTGAACCGAGGTCCTCCTAGCAACGGAAGGCAGCATTGGTATGCAGAGGGGATGGGGTCTCAAACGGTGAATGATTTACAAGCAAGGGTCAAAATATCACCAACAGCGAGACACGATGGCACCTGCTTAGAAATCCCAGCATTCCGGGAGGCCAAGGCAGGAGGAGCACAAGTTTAAGCCATGTGAGGTATGATGACGCACAACTGTAATCCCAGCACTTGGGGGGCTGAGGCTTCATAGTTGAGTTCAGGGCAGCCCGCAGCACAGAACAAAATCCTGTCTCAAAAAACAAAAAAAAAAAACAAAAAATTTCAAACCAAGCCTGGATAAGCTAATGATTTAACAAGCTTTTGTCTCAAAGTAAAAATTATAAAAAGGGCTGATGTTGTAGCTCAGAGTTCAATTCCCAATACCACAAAATGAAAACTACTGTGAAGTAGAAGGAAATAGGGTAGTTTCTAGGAAAAAAAAGAAAAGAATGAAATCAG